GGTTTTGATGCTAGAAAAATCAGGGTTACTCACTCTTCACTCTAAATTTGTCGCTTTTTGCTTCTACTTCCAAAATAAATTGTTCTGCTGTAAGTTTTTCTTACTTGTTCTCATAGAGTTCATATTTGTATTTTATTCTTGCAGAAAGAGATTGAGGAACAGACTGAAACTGATCCTGTCACAGATGCGCCTCGACAAAGATACTCAAAGAGCCCGTGCAACCTGTGCTACACACCGCACAAAGCTTCTGCAAGAAAACCGACGAAGAACAAAAAACGAAAAGCAAAACCTTTTAATTTTCGTATGTTGTGCTCTGTACAATTAGTTAAGTTGACCCTAGCAAATTTATATGATGTTTGTCAAGAGCACCAAGTGGTTTATATCGGAAGAAACTTTTAACTCTTAAATTGATATGGAAATGAGTAAGCCACTAGCAAGCAGGATCAGTTCATCTAAATTGTGTGTTACTAAATCATCTATAATGCGTAGTGGTAAAAGTTGCAGGTCAAGCACAACTCAGTAATTTGACTGCAGATATTAGATTATGTTTTGTTTCTTTTGTATTGTATTGGCCTAGGTTACCATTCTGGGTGGATTGTAAAGCATTCATGTTATATTCTTTTTATAGCTTTTGTGGTGTAAAATTGATGAAAAGAGAAAAATAATACAGTATCTTTATTTATCTTATTTTGAACTGACATTGAAAGCTTAGTGTCTCTTAAGACAGTAGTGGCAGTTGCTATTTAGTTGTTTGACCATATTTTGATTGGATCCAACTCTGCTTGTAAGGCAGAATAAAATATGCATCTTCCGCCAATTTCATTCTGAATTTTATAGAGTGGTGGACTGGGTTTTCAACTCAAATACTGCAAATGAAAATACCTTGTATACTGCTGTATACCCTTTGGTAATGACAAAAATCAAAATATTTTTACAAAACGAACCCCGCAGAATGTTTTTATGGTCATTCATAAATTGGCGAGTTAGGCACCTGCATTGAAACATGAGAGAAGGGCGCCCTGGAGAAGAAGCTTAAAAGCGCCTAGACCCCTCTTTCGGACACGATTGAAAGCAATTGTTTCAATGTGTGCAATTACATATATCACTTTTAAAAAAATATGGTGACTCCCAAGAAAGCTCCGTGAATACACTTGCCGCAAGGCGGTAGTTTTCAAGTGCGAAATTAAAACGAGATGTTGTAAAAATATCATGCGTAGGCGTCGTGGAAACATTTGGAGCAGCCGAACCACTGCATTTCCCAATAAATGAAGCTTAGCTGCAAAAATTAAGCTGACAGCAGCTTAACGGATTTCGAACAGGAGCTTTGGCGCTGTGCCGATTAGTTTCACTTCACTGAAACAAACGAGAAAAGGACCAAGTCAAGCCTCCGCCATCAGACTCGCACAACAGGGAAGTTCAATGGGTCGCTTGCTACTCACTACTGAGGATTCCCTTGGCGCTTTTCGCCAGGATGTCCGTGGACTGGTGCACGTTGCTCGCAGTACCCTCCACGGCCTTGGTGATGTCGGTTCGCTTCTGGTCCACGAACTGGTTGGCCTCCTTGAGCTTCGAGTCGACCTGCTGGTTCACCGCGCTCACTGTGCTGTCGATGGCGCCCTCCGCGGTGCGCAGCCCGCTGTCGACGGCGCCCTCCACCGTCTTCACCCCCGTGTCCACCGCCGTCTCGGCCATCTTCATGCCGGACTGCATGAGCTCGCTTGCCTTGTTCACCTGCGGGGGTAAGACTGTCAGTGCGGGCGAGCATCGAGTGGGAGTGAGAGGGAGCTATGGACAAAATGGAGGGGGGGGGGGGCTTCCTAAGGGGGTACTTGACTCATCTGCAAAACTCAAGGAGACTCAAAAAATCAAAACAAGCTAGAAAAATCGGTGCACGCTTGAATTTTTAGTGGAGTGCCGGATCCTCCTATCGGGTCTTCCCCGGCCCGGGGCGCGGGGACTCACCTCGCGGTCGATGGCCTCGGACGCGGCGGTGCCGGCCTCGGTGACGGTGCTGGTCGCGATGCCCTCCACCTCGTGCGCCGTCTTGGACAGCGACGCCTGCGTCTTGCTGGCCTGCTCGGCGAGCATGTCGGCCGCCTCCTTCTGCTTCTGGGCGGCTAGGTCCTCAACCTCGTGCTTCTTGCGCTCGAACAGCTCGCTAGCCTTGTTGCCAAGGCTCTTGAACGCTGAACAGGACAGAGAGGGTCGGTTAAATAGACTATTGAAGTTTTACTTCAACCTTAAAAAGATCCAGAGCTAGGTGTATCCAAAAACATAACACAGGTCCCAGACTCCGCACTCCTCTGTAATTATCATCCTCTGTAGTTATGATCAGAACGCAGCTGTTCTGATCATTACCGCATACATGTGGTCTTGCCTACCGCGCGCTCTTTGGCTTCTGTCTCCAAGCGAGTAGGCGACCTGTATACGCGGTACAAGTATAACTGAAAAAGAGTAACGGGGCCTAAAACACACCAAGTAGGGGCAAGCAAACACAGACCGACAGAGACAGGAAGGAGGGGGGTCATTCCCTCTTCCCCCGCAGGCAGCAGTCCGCCTGACGGCTTGACAACGCCACTTAGGAATCACCAAAAAAAGTTGGCCCGTCACGAACCTGCCAAGTACACTCCCTGTAAGCTCTCATCGCCTGGTAGGTAGGCAACACCTTGCCTGCAGTGCATGCGTGTACTGCGGAGTGGCCTACCCTGAGTCTCACAGGCGCCGAGCTCTCGGTAATATGAATCTGAGAGAAACAGACGTACTTTCTGGAAGATCCCTTATTTTGAAGTAACGTTGGCGCCCACCGCACCCCTCCTCTCCCCCGGGGGCCGCCCTCCTTTGGATACACCCCTCGACACTACTCGGCAGGATGACGAGGTCCTCAAGTATGTATGTCCGATTTGTGTAGCGCATGGCATGGCGCCGCCGGGTCGCGAACGGTTAGTCGCGAGGTCATCCACGAGCACCCTCTCACCCGCCCTCCCCTCTCCGCCACGCCCACACTCATCTCCCGCAGGTGTCGTTGTCTCCCTCCCACACAAGGACGCGCGCCGGCTCGTTCTCTCCATCTCTGACCGGACGCGTTTCAGACGCGACCACCGAGCGGTGAGATCACTCACTACTTTTCAAATGGCGAACGAGGGGATAGGCATCCATAAAATTCAGCATGATATCCTCTCGGGCAGTTATTATCCTCCGTTCCCTCCCGTCCAAGCAGCGCATGGCATCATGGTGGGCCGGCGGCGGAACCTGGAAGAACCTGTTGCTCGACCGGGGGGGAGGGGCTAGCCTTCATTTAACTGAGCGGTGACTTTTCACATCAAAAAGAAAACAAAAATTGTTGTGATAGGAACCGTAATACGGAGTACTGTACCGTATCTCTTCATGTTTCGGACCGGCGAATGTCGCATTTTTTGTTTTCGTTGCTCAGAGCTTATCAGGAGGGGAGCGTGAATTTCGCGCCATGCTCGTCGCGGCTGGCGGCTAGCTAGGGGACGGACTCGAGCGAGTAGCTAAAGGCAAATGAGATCTACACACAGGTCGTCGTAAAGCCTTTCATTTGGGAGCGACGTGAAAAGTCGCGTTCACGCATGGTTGTCAGGCGATGTTGGTGTTGCTCCCCCTCCCCCACCCCCTCCACCCTCGCGAGCGCTCGACGCCGCGCCAGCGCAGCAGGCAGAGGGAAGCCCTGGCCCGAGTGTCCTTCGGCTGCGCTGGAGATCGATGGACAGCGCGCGCGGCCCGGCCCGGCCCGCCACGCCCCGCCACGCCCAGCTCCGTACAGTAGTAGTAGTGTGCAAGTCCGTGTAGTAGTGTGATGGAGGTCCGGCTGACTCACCCGCGACATCACGCTCGCTGCACGCCCAATTACCCGGTAGCAATTTGAGAGAATTTCAGATGGGGCGCTCGAGGGGGGGCGGGGCGTCCCGTCGGGCACACGGACACTCCCGCGCCTCCAAATGCGTAGTGCTCGGCTGGCGCCTTGCCTGTCGGCGGCCATGCCCTGCCGTGGCCCCCCGAGCACGTCGTACTGGCCAAGGTCAGGGCTGCCCCGCGAGGTGGGTGGGGGGTGGGGGGGCGGCGTCGCGACGCCTGGAAGTAGTATAAGGAAGCGAAAAGGGGCGCCGCGGAGGAGGAGCAGGGCCCCGCGCAGCGCGGCCGGGGCGAAAACAATATGGAATATGGGGCGCTCGGGGCGCTATAGCCGTGAGGGCGGCCGGCAGGATGTGTCGCAGCTTGTAGCCACAGCTTGTAGCTAATGCACGCGCAGCTGCTGGGTCCGCGCGGCCGTCGTGCGGCATTCCACACAGGTTGTGTCACGGCCGCGCATCAAATCGAGCGGTCGGGGCCTCCTGGGCCTCGGCCTGGGCGCCAGCGGAGGAGGCTCCGCCATGGTGCCGCAGTACCCGTGAACCCGCCCAGGGAAGGCATGCACCCACACTTGCACCCAGGAGATAGAGACGTCCCCGTCGCTCTGCGGGCGTTCGCAGGGAGGGAAATCCCAGCACTTTCGACAGGGGGTGCAAATATAACTTGGCAGGTGCTTAAGCCCGAGCAGAAAATGAAATTGCGCGACTCCTTTACATGGTGTCTTTAAGACGGAGTGCACGACTATATTTGAACGAGTAGGGAGGTCCCACGATATTAATTTAAAGTTAAAAGACCTTTCGCAAACATTCGCGCGTTCTTTATTGCGAACCGATGGCTGAAGCCAGTGCAAAGCCTAAATATGTCGGCTTACCGTTGCCGAACATGATGACTGGAGTTTGACGGATTGATTCGCCTGATATTATGGAGCCGATGAGCTCTCTGGTTGACCGCTCGGTTTGGGACACAACACGGACTGCGCCTCGGCCCGACTCGCCGCCGCGCGCCGCCGCCGCGCCTAGCCTGGCCCCGACGAGCAGCGCCACGCCATCCCCCGCGAAGGTCGCCTTCCCCCACCCGCCCCTCAGGAGCTAGGTCGCCTCCGAATCTCGGACTCATTCATTTGCACTTGGCTCTCGCTCCTGGATGCGATCTTCGGGTTCCAAAACTGAGTCTTATTAGTTATTAGCACGGCGCACTCCTGTAGTTATGTTGTACCGCATTCCTACGTGCGCGCGGGCTGCCTACTCGCTCGGCCCGCTGGGCGCCGTACGAGGTCAGGGGTGGGACTCTAAGGGGTGGTAGTACGCAAGCCCGCTCGCCCGCTCGCCTGCGTGCGCCCGCTACTCTTCAATTAGCTGAGTACTCTACAGAGAGCAGATGTGCCAGGTACCACAGCCTGGGAGGGAAGTTGTCTTTTGGGATAAATACAAAAACACAGTGGAAAAAATGTATTAAAAACTTTAATGGAGGTAGTTGCGGTTATTCGTAATTCAGCTCCACTAACAGTCCATACACACAAACATGTGAATCACAAATTAAACGACGTAAGAGATGCGGGAAGATTTGTGGTACAAAATGTCTCTGCTTGATCAGAAAACAGAAGATGTTAAAATGATTAGAAATACACACAAACATGAGAAACATAATTGAAATTATGTAAGAGATACGCAAAGATTTGTGATACAAAATGTCTCTTCTTGCGCAGAAAACATAAGATATAAAATGATAAAAAAAAATACACACAAATATGTGAAACATAATTAAAATTATGTTAGAGATACGGGAAGATTCGTGGTACAAAATGTCTCTTCTTGAGCAGAAAACATAAGACAGAAAATGATAAAAAAAAATTACACAAACATGTGAAACATAATTAAAATTATGTTTGAGATACGGGAAGATTTGTGGTACAAGATGTCTCTTCTTGAGCAGAAAACATAAGGTAGAAAATGATTCAAAATACACTCAAACATAAGAAACACAATAGAAATTGTGTAAGAGATGCACTAAGATTTGTCGTTCAAAATGTCTCTTCATGAGCAGAAAAAATAAGGTATAAAACAATTACAAATAATACAACACATAATTTGACACTGACAGAAGCTGAATTAAAGTTCATGTAAGAAAATGCTACAATAGTAGTAGTTTAAGCTGTAAATTAAATCAAAAATGGTGACAGGTACTTAATATATAGAGTCCAAGAGATATTAACAGGGATGGTGTTCCCTAGCAAGGCACGGCCACCATATGTGCCCACATGGTACTCAACATATGTTAACACCTAGTCCCAGAGCAATTACAAACAGTGGCATTAGGCCGCAAAGCATGACCACCATGTGGCCACACGGACACAACGTGCTCAGCAGCAAAATAAAACACTGTTTCTGAAATCAGTCTTGGAAAGATGCAGCTACCAAAGAGGAACTCACAAGTACATAAAATAGCAATTT